AATTGCTTTCGAATATAACGATTGAAAATGAGAAGCTGTAAACTGTTCAATGTTTTACATATCTAGGAAGTAAAATAACACATTATGGAAGAAGCGAAATGGACATAAAGAGCAGAATAGCACAAGAAAAACAAGCATTTTACCAAAAGAAACACCTATTAACGGCAAACACTGTTAGCTTAAACACCAGGAAAAATCGTATAGAGAGTTTTGTATGGAGTATAATAGCCCTCTATGGGGCAGAAACATGGACGATACTAAAAGCGGAAAGAAAAAAGATTGAAATTTGAAACATGGTGTTGGAGAAGAGCACTGCAAATTTCTTGGAAAGAGAAAGTTAAAAATGAGGAAGTATACCTAAGAATGAACGAACAAAAAGCAATATGGACGACAATCAAAGAAAGGAGGAAAAAATGGATCAGACCTATTATGAGAAATAATGAATGGAAAACGACAATAATAGAAGGAAAAATAAAAGGAAAAGCTGGAAGAGGTAGATAAAGAACACCATTTATGAAACAGATCATAGACAATATAGGGGAAACCAACTATAAGGAACTAAAAGTAGCTGTAATGGATCTAAGAATTGAAAAAAAAAAAAAATAAAAAAAATACATTAGTAATTAATGATAGATACTTGCTACCTACTATAAGTAACATACGGTAAAGGTTGAATTATTTTTTGGGTGAAAACATTGAATTTATTTTAAGATGAATTATTATTATAGTGTAGTAATTAAGTGTTTATAATTAAATGTATAATATAATGTAATGTAATATAATATAATATGTAATTGTATTATATAATTTAATTTATATTTATCTTCAAATAATGAATCAAAACAAGCTTCTTCTTCTTATTATTTCACCATGTTCTTAAGAAACAGTTTCCTTTCGGTTGCATCTCCAATAAACTTGTTACAGAAGTGTTTAAACGGGTCTAAAGCTGATTCTGCAAATTAAATTTATTTTAGATATGTTGAGTACGTTCGTTAAATTTAATTTCCAAAAACAGGTATAGAACACCATTTATTTACGTCTATAAAGAACAGTATTTAGCCAAACACCAGGCAAAATGATATAATCCAGTCAAATTAAACGAAAAAAGGGGTTCAGCTTGGAAAAATTCCCACCTATCTGAATTTTGGTACACATCTTTATTACATTGTTTTAAACAATGTATAAAAAGCCAAACTTGATATCATGTACAAGTTAAAGGTTATTCGAGGTCAAAGGAATTGGCCTTTTGCTCAGCCACTTGCTAAGATAACAAATGTGACTTACGATTTTATTATTATTTAGTAAATACAAGAATAAACAAGCAAAAAAGTTAGCTGTATCGGAATGAGATGTGATTTGTATACCATAGAGTGTAACACTTGTAGGTATAGATGGAGAAGAGCGGTTTTTTCTAATGAAACTCCAAATATATCGTGGGTTTCATGATAGGGAAAACTCTGTGCGAGAGACAAAATTACGGTAGCGTTGCTTGGAGATGAATTTAAATTTATCACGAAGAAGTTAAAAGTTCTTGTAATCTGATAGTAGTTGGAATGACTGTTGAAATATACAATTAATATTAGTATTCATGCCATGTAAGCACACGTACGTGTACAATGCCATTTTCTAATAGATACTTATGCAGTTACGATGTAGCTGTGCAACTCTTTTACTATCGCTTTCTATATTATATTATACGGATACGGGATAACCTCAATTGTTCATATAAATAGGGAATATGATGAATGTAATACTCAATTGCACAGAAACCGGCATACGGTGTGTATAGTCATAGATAATATTCCAAGTTGTATTTTACTTATATATTATAATATACACAATCATATTGTTTTGTTATTACTTATTATATTAATACTAAAGTCATTAGTTCTAGTTGTTGACGGTCTATGTTTATGATTATTCTGATACGGCACTCGATTCGTGATACAAAGAAGCTAACCTCGAAGCCGTACCATAGCGGTGATACTAAGTATCGAAAACCAGTCAGTCGAGTGACGAGTGTTCTGCTACAACGCGACCCACGATTACCGTCCATTTTGACGACAATATGATTATTATAATTTGTATAATTTATTTTTAAATAAAATCGTTATACAGTACACATACAAAATAGTATACAAAACAGTTCGTCAAGCTTCATTTTCAACAATGACTTAAATTTTGGCATGAGCGTGAGACTAGCAAACACTAGTTCTTTGAGCTCATTAGTGTACCAAGACGGAAAAGTGGAAGTGTGAAAAGAGATTTTAGGGACTGAGGCTAAAATTTAATAGGTAGTGGAGAGCATCAAGGAAGCTGTCTTGGAATCATCGGGGTAGAAATGTACGTTTCCAATTTCTAAAGAGTCAAAAAATTTAGTGATCTGTATGTAAACTGTCTTAGATATAAAATGATTTCAGGGGAGCAGATTGAGGAGCATAAATGGGGAGATAAGATTACACAGGAAAGGCAAGCCTTTTAGTAACACAGTAAGTACCTATTTTAGTTTCATTATCCTTTTTATTTTCACTATTTCAGATTTCGTTCAAATACTTAAATCTATTGTGTTCTAAAAAAAAGGTATTGGTGCACTACATTTATAAACATTTATCAGTCCTCTATGCTGGAAAGAGTTATTACACGCTTATAATTAGGTATACATACTTCGTCCATAATATTGTTTATACTTATTTCCAAAATCTGTAAAAATATTCAATACTGTGAAAGTTTCCTATTATTTTTAGTATAACTATAATCCCAACAAAAACATTTCTTCGTATGTGTTATGTATAATAATATTATGCATAGGTATTTAATATTTTGTAAAAAAAATAATTTTTTTTGTCGCTAAAGTTATACCTTCATTGGCTATATGATATGGGAATGAGAAATTACCCACTCTTTAACTCAGGTATATGTAAACTGCTTATATTTGTACATATTTATTTGAGTGGTTGTGGCCAAATATAAAACATACAGATCTAAAATTATTATAAGAAAGATAATAAATATTTATTTTCTGTAACCATTTGAACTAATGAACAAATATTTACAAATAAGAAAAATATTAGTTCTTAGGAGTGTAATCCACTCCTAAAAAATTGAGTTACACATCCTTGGGTATAGAAATTCTTGTTTATCAAATTAAGGAACCATAAGTTAAATGTACTTGGGTATAGACCGATTTATTACACACACACACACACACACACACACACAGAGTGAATTTTCACAATATAGACTATGTAATAGAAAAAGTTTATTATTCCGGACTGAATTTATTTCAATTGACTCATTATTAGAGAAATAAGGTTATTAAACACTACCCATCGATATAAAAATTATTATTATTATTAGATTATTGTTTGAGTCATATTAGACGTTATAAAATGTAAATATATAGCTATTTTTTTTATAATTCCAAATGATAGAATTTTAAGATAATTGATGTAATTTGTATTCTTTATATACGAATGAAAATATGGGATGATTCAATTAGTTTTCAGTTTTAATTAATTTAATATTATAATATTATATAAGTTTTTAATAAATTTAAAAATATCGAATTCCCCATAGTCTAAAGATTTTTAAAAGCATATATTTTAAAGAATTTGTATACCTATAAAGGCCACTCAATGGTTATATATATATATGGTTATTACACACAAAATTAATTGAACTATATACTTACATAATCCAATTTTCACTAAAAAAAATAATAGTAATTTGTGATTATTATCTATGATTAATAGCTGTATAATCATACTATGAATCTACCATAAAATTTAAGAATAATCAAATTATCGTAATGCTTTTAAAATTAAAATATTCGGGTACCTATTTTAACAAATTGAAAATAAATAATTAAATAATACAATATGCACTTACTATAATTATCTAGAAATAAAATAATAAACATACTATTTAATAACTGTATAAAGATTATTTAATATTTGTCCTACAAATTAATTATATTTTAACCAATAATTTCACAGCTGTTTACTTTTGAGAGCCACCTTTTGCAAGAATGTATTTCTTAATATAATTGAATTATAATTTAAGTTACTGCAGTAGTTAAAAAACAAGTTATGAATATTATATTTTCACTGTAAATTATAATCAATTAGAACAGAGGTTACCAAATTGTGGGTCGTGACACATAGAGATAATAAAAAATACCCTTATTGAAAAAATAAAAAATAGCGCAATAGAAGCTTCGGATATAATATAGTTTACCAAATTATAGTTATAGTTTCTTTTTACATATAACATTTTGTATTATAATTATATAAGTACATTTAATTAGAAATGAGTGCTTGACGAATGACGGGCTAACACATTTTTATTCATTTTGTTTTTATAATTTTATTCTTGGACGAATAGTTGAACTTTCCGAAAGACCGCGGCACACTCAGTAAATTCTCGAGGCACACTCAGTAAATTCTCGAGGCACACCAGTGTGCCGCGGCACCCAGTTTGAAAACCACTGTAATAGATTATAGCATTAAAAGATAAAAATGTAATTAATTTAATTTGTACATACTCTCCTCCGCCGCTAGAAATAAAATAATAAACATACTATTTAATAAATGTAAATAGAGATAACTTAATTTTCATCTTACAAAATGTATTACAACTAAGAATTTTACAACGGTTTACTTGTGAGAGTCAAGCGTTTGCAAGAATGTAATATCACTGTATTATAATTTAAGTTACCGCAGCAATTAAACAAAAAAGAAAAAAATTAGAAAATTCATAAATATAATTTATAAAGTTGAATGAAAAATTAACTGGAAGGATCGGCCCAAAGCAACCACGAGTAGGTACCTCGAACAACCTGCCCGTGGTCATCTGATCACAAGCCGGCCCATTCTAATTCAAAACTCGAACAAGAGACCGCATGAAAGGTGCGAGCGGTCCGGTGCAAGCAGCAGGCCTAACCACCCATCTACTATTAGCCACTAAAAATCCAAGAAGACCACTCAGTGCGGGAATGAAGGTCAGCGCAGGAAACCGTACCACTCAAAATAATAAGACAGTGTCGCGGTAGACGAAAAGATCTTGCATCGACATCTGCAGTAGTGGGAACTCGGTCGTTGTGAGTACCTGGGATATGGATTCCAAAATCTCATTCCGTGGGAATCGGAGAGAGCTCCACTGATCACCAGTGCTCCGATTAGCTTTGGCACGTACGTTCGAAAGTCATGAGCACTTGGTTGTCCCTGAGCCCGCCTGGCTCTTGCTCGTCCGTTACTCATGGGGATGGCCTAGCGGAGGCAGTGTAAGTACCGTCTTAGTAGACGCAACTTTTGAAACTCACAAAATACCTTAAATGCATATCCCGTGGGCCACTGTCTGGCGATTGGGCAAGCAGTGCCCCTCTTGGGGCGTGATGAGGATATGTCACAAGGCTCGGAAGAGTCAAGCTTGCAAAATATGGCTAAGGGTGTAAAAACCCGCAAGTTTTTGCCTAGTGCCTTCCCGCCACACAGTAGTTTATCGATATATTAATATTACATTATTTGGACTGTAAATTAAAAGCATTTAAAAGATAAATAATTTTGACCATTATAACTTATATGTACTCTTGTAAGGCAAGGTTAACGAGTCCACAATAAGTTTTTACGTTTTGCTAATATTGTTTTAAGAATTCCCTGTCTACTTCATGACTACTCGTCATTATCAAATCTAATTGGCCTTTCCCCGTTGGCCCAGTGAAGATGAACTGCTGGTATTCTATTTATTGAAATACTGTTAAGTTGAATCCACTCATATTGTTTCATTGATATTATGCTAAGGTAACCCGGCGCTACACTAGAGCTGGGTACCTAGAGCTCTTCTTTATGACCTCCATGCCACCACAAACTCTTTAACCAACGAATCACTGAGAAAGTTAATGACAAACGCCAACGCAGACTTTACTTTTTTAGTTTAAAAGGTTTTTCACTATTTAATTCTTGTATAATAATATACTTAATTATACATGTAATCAGTTAACTTTATAATTTTTTGGGAAGGCATTGGTGGGGCAGTGGTATAAAGTGGCATCCGTATGAGAGCTATCTGTGTGTTACATCATTTTTTCAATTTAGACTATGCTAAATAGTTTGGAAATACTAAGTAGCAATCGTAGTAGCCATACGTAGATATAGAATAAGTGTTGTATAATATTTATTTTTTTATTTTAGTTTCCCCTCTCCTTAAATTATATTATATTTTATTATGTACAGTACACACTACACACACAACTTGATTTCTAAATATATGTGAATTTTTTTTTCTCTCTCTCTCCTTTTCCATTTAATACTCAAGTAACTATCTTATATTTAAAATGTAATTGGAATATTTTGAGTAATAAACAATGTTATTATTATTATTATTATTGTTGTTGCTATTATTATTATGTGTATGGATAATTATTATTACAGAACATTTCCAGAGTATAAAAAAATAGTCTTATCATTGGATTCAATATAAAAGTGAGGAATAGTATAACATTTTTGTTAGATAGGTTGTGGATTTGATTGTAATTATATCGTGACCAGGAGATTTATGCTTATGAGGTATAAATAAATTAAGTATGCCAATTCATAAAGAGAGATATATTTTTGGGTAGCAATTATACATATGAGAAGAGGAGAGTCAAGAGACAATGCAACCTTTGTAGTTGGCAGAATGATTTCCATTGAATAAATTACAAGTGGTAGGTGTATCTGGTGCCTTACTTAATGTTGAGATGTGGTCGTCTTCACCACATTTAACTAATAATTTGAGTTGCGTAGTGGTTGTTGGGTTAATCATTTAGTCTCTAAAATTGGGTTAGATATTGATTTCCATACGAATTTGTTTAAAGTTCAGTCATGAGGCCTGACGCTTAACTTCGAAAAATGTCATAAAATTTCATTTTCCAGGAAGCTTTCTTCTATAAAACGGCACTGTGAATTATCCAACTGAATTATCTCATGTGTTGATTTTGTTGTTGAGTTGGGTTTTAAGTTCAATAGTTGCCTCACTCCGTACCTCATATTAATATGATATACTGTAAAGCCTCCAGAATGTTTGGATTTATGAAAAGACTAGCCCAGGATTTTAAACTTGGTTATCTTATAGGTATATATTATAGGTACTATTCACTTAACACAGTGTTTCCCAACCTTTTTCCACGGACCACGGACCACTTCGACAATATTCTATAAGAGGCTTAGATGCTTTTTTTTTTATTAAAGTTAAAAATGATTAAAAATTTAATACAAACTAATATTATAAAAAAACTTACATTACATTATTATAGTTATTTAAGGTAAATTACAAAAATTTTAAAAACAATTTAATGCGATTTTTTAAGTCTTAACAGAACCTATACGTAATTTATATGTTGTTCGTAAAATTAATGAGATTTCTTTGTTATCAGTTATCACTATAAGATTGTTTATATATGTTTACTTTTGTCAACTTAAATAATATAAAAATAAAATAAAATAAATCAAAAACAACATAACTGTGACAGCTAGAAATAAAATATGCTGTAGTAATTTATAAGTATAAATATAAATTAGTTATAATATTATGGTATAATTAGTGGTAAATCCAGTGATTATTATAGTAAATTTACTTGGAAACTCCCAAACAAAAATAAATTAAATAAAACAATAATAATTTTGTATAATTTTGTATTCAAATTTTATAGCTTAATGTGATCGGCAATAAATATAAAAAAACGTTTAATGAAAGCGTATTGAAATGTTTCTAGCGGTATTAATGTTAAATATATTTTTATTACAAAAAAACCGATCACGTGCATATCGTTGCCGTTAAATGGACCAACTCTATATATATGACTCAAACTTTGTTCAATTCGTTATTTAATATTCGATGTATGGTGTTGAAAACTTATCTTAACTTTTCCGTTGTGCCCAGAATAAAAATTCTGATTTTCAGCTGTATATTATCAGGTAGGCAATCTATCAGCGGTAGATCGCTGATCCCGTGCTGTTTGTACGTAAGTGTATGATTTAGCTCTAGAGTATCAAAGTTACTTCATTCCACCTACGATGAATTGATATAATTAATCAATACAAAATCCTAACCTAACCTTACTAAAATCCGATGAATAAAAAAAAACCAAATTTAACCCTTGTTAAATTAATCTATCTTCTTCCCAGAGGTCTAATCTACACACAAACATTATATAACATTATATAACATAATAAAAAATTTAGTTTATTGTTGCAGATTAAAAAATAGTGGGTAGTGTATTATTTATTGGTTTCTATTGGTTAATAGAGCATGTTTGTTAATTTGTATTATTATTTTTTGTCAATATATAAAAACAGTCATTCTCGATTGATGAGATAACATACATTTTTCTCGCTCCATTTTTATATATATGGATTAATTTTTGTGTGTAGATTAGACATCGGGGAAGAAAATAGGCTAATTTAAAAAGAATTAAATTTGGTTTCTTTATTAATCGGATTTTAGTAATTATTCATTAATTGATTATATTAATCCACCATAGGTGGAATTAAGTAAATATGACAAACTTGGTATAAGTTTGATACTCTAGAGTTATTTTTATTATTTATTATTATTATTTATTTGTTTTCATTTAAAACAGAAATGTATACATACATGTAAAATTACAAATATTTATACATATTATAATTTGGCATTATATATAAATGATTGTCTCCGTAAGCTAGGCTTGTTGTGGAGACAAGGTTCTTAAAAATATCTCGTACATTTACTAAATAATTAAATTAACACATTATAAGTCGATCATAGTTGATTATGTGAAAATAAGCATCATGAATAGAAATTTTTAAATATTTTAGAAATACATAGTTAAATCATAAACTTATGTACAAACAACACAGGGTCTACGATCTATCGAAGGTAGATTGCCTACCTGATAATATACTGCTGCATATCTGAATTTTTATTCCAGGCAACAGAAAAAGTTAAAATAAATTTTGAACACCATACACCGAAAACAATTAAGTTTGAGTCATATAGAATTGGTACATTTAACGGGCATTGAAGTGCAGGTTGGGTTTATCATTTCGACTCTTTTCGGGAAACTCTCGGAAGCATTATTCTATAAAATATCACTATGAATTATTCAACTGAATAATCTCATGTGTCGATTCTATTGTTCACTTGGGTCTTAAGTTCAATAATTGCCTCAAAACAGACCTCATATTGATATGATATATTTTAAAGCCTACAGAATGTTTGGATTCATAAAAAAACTAGCCCAGAATTTTAAATATGGTTTATCTTTAAAAACCTTATACTATGCACTCGTACGGCCGGCTCTAGAATACGGCGATTTTCTGTGGCATCCGCATAGGTACCTCTGGCCACTGAAATGAGTGAAATGATCCAGCAGAAATTTCTTAGCTTTTTTTGGTTTTATTCTCCCTATTCAACATCAACCTCATAACTATAGCCCCATTTCTGACGCACTTAACACTGAATACAATATCAAGAACGGTTTTTCAATATTTTATGGTTTCGGTTTAGGTTTTGTGAACGGTTTTTTAAGATTTTAGGTTTCAGTTACGGTTTATTAATCAGTGCTTTAAAGCTTTTGGTTTCGGTGTTGAAATATGAAAAAACCGTTGTTTTAACCAAATTTTTCAGAAAACCGGTTTCGATCCCTGCTTACATGACAATTTTTTTTGGCTCCTTTTGTGTTATTTATATAGATATTCTAATTGTTTTTTTAATTTAAGTAGGTATAAAAACAATTATATTTGGTAAAAAAATTGCAATATTATGTAGTACAAGGTTCCTTTTGACTTAGTGCTTTAATTAATATCAAACTTGCAGTCCTGATTTTTTTTTATACCTATCTGATAAAAATTAATTCGAATGAACTCCATCGAAACCAAAAACATTTTAAAAGACTGATTCCATAAAAAATAATATTATTGTGTACCTATTAAATATTAAAAATTATTAAAAATAAACTTACCATCTACATTTTTTACTACAAATGATAATGTTTAATTTATTAGAATAGAGTAAAATAAATTAGACTATTATTGTTATAATATAATGTATATTATGTATATAATTATTATCATGATTGAAAATAATATCCAGATTTTTGGGACAAAAAATGTCATCACATTTTTATAAAATTTTACTCGAAACGTTAAGAAACAACTAATTATATTAATTATGGTAAAGTAAATCAAACAAATAAATAAAAACTACGCTTCTGAAAATGTCAAATGATATTTGGACTAGT